ATTTCCTCTATATAGAAGACTGAACTATAAGGTCACTAGACTATTGCGTGACCTGATCGAGTTTTTTGGTCTACTGTACGGGAGGTACTGAACACCTTTTGTCTATCTGCTTGAGTCAATCATTGCTGTTTGCCAATGTCTAGTTTTTAAAAGGGCTCTGAAAAGAGTAAATGATCATTTTATGATCGTTTTGAAAATAGTGATAAGCTTAGTTAAGCTTGCTTTAGTTTATTATTATTATTTTTTTATTATTTTTGACATTTCACTCCTTGTGTTACCCCGTGACAGTTAGAACGAACAGCCGAACTTGCAAAAAACTTGGCTACAATGAACAACGTTACCATAGGTTTTGCAGCAAAGCCGTAATTTACCTTTTTGAACTTGATTTCTGGATTCCTTATGGGCTTAGGCATTTTCAGCTTGAAGGACTTGAAGCAACAAGTGCGCAAAACAGGAGGGGAAATCGGAGGGGAAGAGGAGGCACGGAAAAAGAGCCTACGCACTTCTGTGTCACCGGTCTTTAAGCCTGTAGGTGCTTTATTTACACGCAATAGAGTGTACCACTTCTCTCAGGCAAGTTCAACGATGCAGCGAGTCGCGAATCACTCTGAAGATTCCTTTGTATTTTTGGTAGGTATTTACATTTATTTGGCTTTTTAATGATGGGGAAGTCCAATTGGTTAATCACAAGTATAAGTGCAGACAGTATTGAACATCAACACTTTACGTACTGCTTTAATAGCACATGTATGTTTGCACAACATCAAATCCGGTGTATAATTCATGGTAGGCTACCATATAGTCTCCCAGCCATATAGTCATCCACATATTCCATAATAATGCTAACCAATGAAGGCCTGCAAACCCTTGTAAACCCCTCTATACCCATACAAACCCTTGCAAACCTCTGTATACCCTTGTATACTCTTGTATACCCTTGTAAACCCTTATATACCCCTGTACACCCTTAAAAACCCCTTTATACCATTGTATACCCCGGTACACCCTTGTAAACCCCTGTATGCCCTTGCATACCCTTGCATACCCTTGTATACCCTTGCAAACCCCTGTATACCCCTAAACAATCATGTAAACCTCTCTATACCCTTGTAATCCCTTGTAAACCCCTGTATACCCTTGTAAACCCTTGTATACCTTTGTGAACCCTTTTAAACTCTTGTGAACCCCTGTATACCTTGTATACCCTTGTGAACCCTTGTAAACCCCTGTGTACCCTTATATTCCTCGGTAAACCCTTGCATACCCTTGTAAACCTTTCTATACTCCTATAAACCCTTGTATCCCTTTGTAAACCCTTGTAAATCCTTGTAAACCCCTGTATACCCTTATATACCTCGGTAAACCTTTGCATACCCTTGTAAACCTTTCTATACTGCTGTAAACCCTTGTATCCCTTTGTAAACCCTTGTAAATCCTTGTAAACCCTTGTAGACCCCCGTAAACCCCTTTACAATCATGTAAACCTCTGTTTTCCCTTGTATACCCTTGTAAACCCTTGTCAACCCGTGTATACCCTTGTACACCCTTGTAAACCCCTGTATAGCGTTCTCACGTTCCAGTTTCCTATCTTCTTGATGTTCTTTGGGTGGACTAGTGATCTCATCTGCCCAAGGGCCTCTGTTTGGCTTTCACCCCCATACGTCATTGAACCTCTCATGGTGTGAGGAGTGACCATGACGTCCCCCAGATCATTTGAAATTATTGTGCTTCTGATTTCGGTAATAATATGTTTTTTACAGGAGCGGGTTATCAGCCCGCAGCCCATCCCCCAATCTGGAGGACCAGGGAGCCTCTTCGTCTGGCCCCTACCCTTCGACCTGTTCGGCATGGGTGACCCTACCAGGTGCACATGGCACCTGCCAACATAGCTTTAGAGGTCAACCCCTGTCTACCCTTATATAACCATGTAAACTCCTGTATACCCCTGTATATCCATGTAAACCGTTGTAAACCCTTGTATACCAATGTATACTCATACAAACCCTTGTATATCCCTGCACACCCTTGTAAAGCCATGTATATCCATGTAAACCCTTATAAGCCATGAATAGAGCCATCAGTGAAACTTTAATAGGAAAACGAACTCAAATTATGGTTGAGTTTGTTTTGATTTAAGTTGCATCAGGAATTTTTTCTTAATTTCAGTTTTAAAGTTAAACCAGCTCAGTGAACAGCACTTCTGCAAACTACTTGAGTTTTATTTTCTCCTACGTATTTCATGTAACTAGCTATGTAAAATTCCCTGATAAAGTGTGTGCTAGTCACACGAGACACAGGAGAAAATAAAAACGTTTTACAACCCAGATCACAGAAGTCCTGCTCACTGGTTTAACGTTTAAAAAAGTCTGTATCAGTACCAGAGGAAGTTCTCCCCCCAGAAGGGGGGTACTCCCAGAAAAATTGGGTGGGTGTACGCAGCCTGCTTCCCAAAACCCTTATCATATTTATGACCAAAATCTGCAATATTCCTTACCCTATTTATGACCTGACAATAAATTTGAAACCCATTTATGACCTGACCCTTAGATCAAAACCTTGTTTCAGACCTGTGTTACAATTAGTTCCCTAGTTCAGACCAGTGTTAAATTACCATAAACATAATTGGTGAAGGGCTTTTGTTGATTTTCTTTTCGATAATGACGAAAAATGGCTTCTTAAAAAACATACCCATATTAAGGCCAGAGTGCAAAAACCATACCCTTTTCATGACCAAAATGGCTAAAATCAGCTAAAACCGATACCTTATTTATGACCAAAACGGCTGAAAAACCATACCCTTTGGGACTGCACATACCTATATAGCCCATATAAGGGAGTATCCCACCCCCGGGAAGAAGCCACATGGCGAGGAACACTGGTTCGAAATGTTGCCTACCAAGCAGCAAAGATCCTGCTCTGCCACTAACCAGCAGTCACTCCAAGCTTGATTCTACAATCAAAGCTATTCTGAGAAAGAAAGTTTTTGAGTGCCTGGACATTGAGAAGTCTCACGCGAGTCTTTTGGCAAGGATCAAGCTTCTTGAAAAGCATGCAGCCGACAGCATGATACCTTCAGGCCTTCAGATTCTATGCATTAAAGCCAAGGGCCAAGGCACTGAAGCTCTTCATGCAAAGTTTGATAACATCATTTGCGATGCAGAACTCAAACTTCTGGACACTGGTACTGACAGTCTCTGTACTGATGTGGAAGCCCACCGAGAGGCATTTTAAGAGCGAGAAGAGGACTTTGATGGTGCCATCCCTCAGTGGAAATCCCACCCTGCTAAAGTGAAGGAAATCACTTCTGACCAGGTGGATAATCTTGTCCAACCAGCAGCTACGTTTGTGGTAAAATTATCCTTGGACAGTGCCATCGTGCGAGCTTCCAAACATTACAAGCGGAGATTACTTGTAAAGAGAGCAATGGAAAGTGAGAAAGTATGGAGATAAACAAGGCCTTCATCCCGACCAAACAATCAATCTGGGAAGTTATTGCCAGGAGATTCACCGCACACAAGGCTCTAAACCAGCTGGAGGCAATAATCAAAGGAAGGTCTCTTCCTCAGACAGTCCAAGCAGGCATAGTTGGTCAAAGCAACAACAAAAGCTGCGTCAACAAAGTACTTCCAAATCGCCACAGAGCTGATCCAAAGGACAGAATCAGCGCAAACAACAGTGGGGTAGATCCAAGTCACGACGATCTAACTTGGTACACACAGGTCACAAAAAAAACAATTTTAAGGCTACATATATATCCTGTATTTCATTGGCTAATAGGTTGCTATAACAGTGAATGTACATCACTCAACTTGTGTTGACTTGGGTTGGGTGACCAAACGGTGAAAAACTTGCTTGCAAATTTGATCTAGACCAAAGTGAGTGGAAGTCAACATAAATGCATGCAAGGGCTGGTCAAACGGACTCGCAAGAAGAGAACCAACTTTTCAAATTGCGTCCACCTGCAAGTCCATTTGGCCAGGGCTTAAGTACATGTACACAGGCATTCTCTGATGCATACAGGATTCCTTCTATGTGACAGTGTTCCTACAACAAGTGATGTTTGGCTACCATAATATCAGGGCAGGAAAAAACCCAAGTCTGATTGCCTGGGGCAAGTAAATTTTGCTCTTGGCCAAGTGAAAATAGAAGTTCAGTGGCCTGGTGGGCAAGTGAAGTAATAATTATTAGCCTCAGTAGTCTTGTGAGTCTGAATGAAAATGTCAGCTTGATAAATGATAATTTCTAGTCAGAAGCTATTTCAAAACTTACCGGTAAGACTACAAGATTAGTTAACCATTGAGTTGAAAGCATGGATTAGTTAAGAATCCAAGTGTACTTTGTTTGCATTTGTCCTCTGATTGCCATACCGGCTGCCACATTGTCAAGTAATATTTTAGTGGGGGCAAGTGAAAACTGAGACTGGCCCACTGGGCATGTAGATTTTGAGTTTGTTTTTCTGCCCGGCATATCAGGTCAGCCAGATATTCCCATAATAATACCTATCTTACACATGAATACCCCTGCATACCCATGTAAACCCTTTTACTGATACCACGCATCTTGGTATACCATGGAATATCCCACTCGTCACTTGTATTTTCTTGGTACACTTGATTGCTTGCATGATCTAGGCGAGTTTTGGTTAGGGGGTTGATATGGGATCCTGGCAGGGAAGGTATAATGGTTAGGAACTGAGGGGGATGGGAGGTGTGCATGTTATTCTTTTGAAGAAGGCCTAAAAATTGAAAAAAAAAAAAAAAA